TGTGTGTGTGTGTGTGTGTGTGTGTGTGTGTGTAGCAGCTCTTCATCACCTCCTCATTTCATTTTCATCTCTTTTTTCCTCAACGTGTGTCTGTGTCGTTGCTTTTAATAGCATCTCCATGGAAGTGAAGAGGGGTTGCTAGGTAACTGGCTGGCGTCTGAAACGGTGTTTGTTTGGCGGCAACACTGACAGAAACATGGTGTGTGTGTGTGTGTGGGTGTGTGTGTGTGTAACAAGTGTACTCTGAGGAGTAAAATATCGTGTTTTGCTCATATCTGTTTTAATATRCTGAAATGTCAGGACTGAACGCTGAGACTCACGTGCAGTCCACCTGCACGTGCCTTTCTTCTGACCAGGAGGCCTGAGAGGCCTGATGAGGAGACAAACAGCAGACTTGTGGRAAGATATGACATCATAGGACACAGTGATGACACCCAGAGGATTTTATCTGTCACTGCAGGCGCCTTTGTCTGATAACATGAGAAGATTTACAACTAAAACATTTAGTTAAGTTTCAATTTTAAACCTTTAACAAACACATTATGAGACGTTAACCATGAGAGAGCATTATGTTACTACTGCTTTTATTTATACATGGCACAAAAAAATTTATGTTTCGCAGATTATTTCTTTGTTGTAACAAGGCGTCTTGGCAAAGAAATAATCTACTAAACATAAATTTCTTCACTTTTTGTGTTAATTATAGTTAAGCAGAGATAGGTTTTTTTATCGAGCGTCAACAAAATTTAGGATGATTTTCTGTTCAAGTAAATAAAAACACTTGTTTGAAATATTAGATTTTCTGTATGCTTTTTTGGTAAAATGACTGCAGTGCAGCTGAAAGTTGAACAAAATGTGTCTGAAAGAAAAAAAAATTGTCTGTCTTCAACAAACAGCAGCTTCTGTGTTTGCCTCATTAAGTGTGCGATCTTTGATTTTATTTAAGTCAGTTACTACGTTTTTATCTGGTAGTTCAGCTTGAATTAAACAAATTTCCTAATGAACTTATTACAATAATTTGTTTGAACGTATATAAGAAACAGCACAGATCTTTTGAGGTGCGTTAAAAAGGTTCTGAGTAATTAATATCTTACTTGTGGCAGACAGATGTTTGAACAATTTTATTTTGGAGAAACAAGTCTTTAAATCGGACTTTATTGATGAGCCAAAGGCTAGTCTGAGTGCGGCTAGAACCAAAGTGAATTCTGGTATCAAAAACTTTTTTTTAAATATTTTTTTAATTTTAATCAAATTTACATTGTATCAGACGATTCCTGACAAAAGGCTGTGGGTTTCACTGGAAGTGCTACAGCTAACTGCTGCTGTTTGTAAATGCAATTAATCCGTTAACTCTAAGTAAATGAAACTTGTTGAAATGCTTATCGCTTTTCAAGGCAAAAATTTTAAACAAAGATCTTGGTTCTGTTAGCTTAGGAGCACACACTGGGGATGACTCTCAGCTACTACCACACTAAACTTTAGCTCAGTATCTCTAAAACTGACTGACTTTGAGCTATTTTATTGTATTTGATAACTCAATTAGCTTTGGCAGCTGTGAATCAAGTCCCAAAAGTTCTATAGGTTCATGAGATATTTTGCTAACACAAAGGGAATTATATCATTGCTCGTTTGTGTGGCAGTGGGCAATAATAATTCTGTTATCAAAATAAAATAATGTTTGCATGAATGGGGAGGAAATGAACCCCACTTCTTTCGCATCTTGGTATAGTACTTGTGTTAGTACTTACCTTGTTTTATTGCAGTGGAGATTAAAATTAAACATGGCAAACTAGATGTACAAACACTGAAACATTTTTTTGTTTTCGTTTTTTTTATTCGCCTCTCATTCGTCACAATTCACACTGATTTTCTCACTGAAACGTCACAGGATGAGACAGAAGACAACGTGGATGTTCCAGTTTCCCAGGTTTTCCTTGGTTTTTCTGCTTATATTAACAAACATATACAGATATCTCCCCGGGAAGAGCTTTGAAATAATAATTTATTCTTTCCCCACAATAACAATAAATTTAATAATAAATTCTCAGTGTTGTTAACGAGTCTGAGCTCACTCGCTTTAACAATGGGATAGGATGTACCCATTGGAATAATTACACGCTCGTACGTCGCACGCACACACACACGCACACACACACACACACACTTACTTAAAGAAACTTTTAATAAATATCTGCAGTCATTAAACTGTCCAGTGTACAAAAATTTATTCTTTCCCCACAATAACAATAAATTTAATAATAAATTCTCAGTGTTGTTAACGAGTCTGAGCTCACTCGCTTTAACAATGGGATAGGATGTACCCATTGGAATAATTACACGCTCGTACGTCGCACGCACACACACACGCACACACACACACACTTACTTAAAGAAACTTTTAATAAATATCTGCAGTCATTAAACTGTCCAGTGTACAAAAACGACTCCAGCTGATTCGTCCGTCGAGTCTTTGATTCCACAGAAAGACCGACGAGCTGCACGACGTTTTTCTTAAAGTGCCACTAAAAGATGAACCCGTCTCTAATTCTGCGTCCGTTCCACCGGCGTGGGCAGGATCCTGGTTCCTGACCCCACTGAACAGGAATGTTTTCTTATAAAAAGCTGTTAAAAATCAGGTGAGAATGTGTGGAGCAGCCTTCAGAACCGTTGTCACGTAAAATGACGCGCACAGAAAAAGGGACTCGCACACAGAACGAACATTCACGACGAGAGGAACACACCTCGGTGTTCGAAACCATAAAAACCAGCAACACGGCTGCGAGGACTGAGAAAATAAACTCTGATTTTAACTGTACAAGGCTGCGAATGGAACCAGTGCAGAGTGGGGAAAAAAAAGGCTTTTTTTTCTTCTTGTTTTGGGGTTTGGAAGGAGGCAAACGATGACAGGAATGATGTTTGTGCTTCGGCAGAACAAACAGAAGAACAAGGAGAATGTGAAAACAGTAAAGCAGCACAGCTTATTTTTGAATGACTGAAGCTACAAAGGTTCTGAAAGAAACAGTTCAGATCTTTTAAAGTGGAAAGGTGATAAACAGTRTCTTACCTGTTGTAGGTAAGTCTTTGAAGAACCTCAGGTTGGAGAAACAGTTTRATTCTGACTGGATTGATGAGCTAACGGCTAGTCTGAGGACATATCATTTGAACCTTTATGCAACCATTAATTTAGCATTTCACAGTTATTTACTTATTTATTTGTGTTTAATGCAAGAAATTTAACCCCAAAAATCATCCATRAAGTTGAGGGGACATATTATAGACGGGAGTAAATTTTAACCAATTTTCCTCTAACATACCACCAAAATAGGTTTTAATATTTTCTCATTTATAACTGAGATATTGTGTCATAATTTCTCCCTCTGTATATTGTGTATAGCAAAACATATGAACAGCAACAGCTGTTGTTTGAAGTTARCAGTAACCCATTCAGATTAGCTGCTAGCTTGTCAAATCAGGCAGAACTCATCTATTTCTCCAAACKGAGGTTGGTCGAAGAGCTATCAAAAACAGGTAAGATATCGATTGTTCATAACCTTTTTTACACAGATTAAAAAATAAAAATCTGACCTATTCCTTTAAGTCTCCAGGAAGGTGAAAGCTGAAAAATGCAAAGCTACACCGACCGGGTGAATGGAAACAACAGCTAGTGAAGTGAAAAAGTGGCTKTTTCTGTGTTTTTAATGGCTTTTTTAGATACTCCATCCATCGTCAGCAGCAGGTGGATGAACTCACTACAAGGATTTAAAAAGGCCTCTTGGACTCTGGGGGTCATGCAGAATAAGAGAGCTCTACCAGGAATGCTGCTCGGGGGTTCACACCTTCTCAGGATTCATGAGGGGAGCGGAATAAAACCTGACAAGGAGGGGATGGTTTTTTTTTTTTTGCGATTTTCATCGAGTGCACTTTGCTCGGCTCAGACGTCAGAATCCATAAAACGGTTTTAAAAAGTGTTCCCTTTCTTGTTTATTTCACAATAAGAACTGTTGTCCACACAGAGCGCCAGGCTGCCGCTGTCCACACAGAGGAACCGTGTGGTCCGAGCTCTGGCCCTCCACGTCCATGTCCATCAGGTTGGGCCGCACAGCGCCGGCGCTGCTGTCCCCCGAACCGAGGGGGCTGTCGCAGCTGCTGCCCGGCGAGGAGCTCAGGGTCTGGGACAGAGAGCCCAGCTTCCAGGGTCTTACCCGGACCGGCGTGGGCCGAGGACGGGGGGCAAACTCCAAAGTCTTGGGTCTCTCCGGGGGGCTGATGAGGCCGACGGGATCGGGGTCGGGTTTTGGGGGAGCGGGAGCTTTACGGCGATGGGGGACTGATGGTGGGTAGACGGTGGAGGGGTCCGGGAGGCGAGGTATGTCCAGAGTATCTGATGGTCCTGAGAAATGATGCAAACATCAGCACTGAAGCAAAAATCACAGAAAAATGTACGATTCACAAATATTTTAATTGTGTTTTTACCGCTTTTCTTTATAGAACTTTGGCACGTTAAAAAGGATTGGCTAACATCTGAAACAACAGCTTTGTGTGTGTGTGTGTGTGTGTGTGTGTGTGTGTGTGTGTGTGTGTGTGTGTGT